CGCAACCCCACCAACAACGAAACCAGCTCTATGGCTACCGACGGCGACCCGCGAAGTCGAACTCGTGAGAGTTCTGGGGCAAAGGCTACGCACGCTGTTGTGCGCCTCTGAGCCCTGCATTGATCCTTCAACAGAAATCCAAACATAAAGTCAATGCACTCAAGGAAGTGAACGTGAACTCTTGGTTCGAAGTTCAAGGGAAGACAAACGGACTTGGATCGGTCCAACCAGGGTTGCCATGTCCCTTCACAGCCCAGTGCTGAAGAAGGCCGAGGACCAGGCATCCGTCAAGAAGGAGGATGGCAAAGCGGAGGATTCGCCTGCAGCAAAGCGACTTTGCACTATCTATGAGAAGAAGATGAGTAAACTCCCAGAGGGGACCTGGGGCTTGTCAAGGATCCTGAAAACAATTTGGACATACTGGAAACGTGTGTTTGCAAACCACGTTGAATCAAGACTGGTGGTCTTCCCAAGGTATATTGTATAGTTTATATAGTTTATAAAGATTCTATATCGTTTTATATAGATATAAATAGTTTTAATAGTTTATATATTGTATGGTTTGCTTCCCAAAACACACAGGAGCTAGTCCGCTTCATGGTGCTGTTCAAAGATGAGAGCAGTGTGGACCCGAAGGCCCATCCCGCACAAATGGTACTAGATCACCTTTGTGGACCATGTCCAGAAGCTAATGCTTTGCACGCCAAGCAGATGGCGCAATGGTTCAAAGACTATGCCAGCAGGAGAGGCCAGCCCCACCTCTACAAAGAGAGTGTTGAACCCGGGCTTGAGACAAATCTCTAGCAATCTGTTTTCCTGGAGCCTGTTGATCCCTAACAAAAACTCACTTTACTTTTCCTTTGCTGCTTGAACACTGCAGCAAGGAAATCGACGAGAGCTCCGATGGGGAGACAATCAAAGTCCCTTTCATACACTTGCGGAACCAAGCTCAGAATATCATTTGTTTCCAAAAGAGGCTACAACATCACAAGAGTTTTTTGCCAATCCATTCTACTCAGGCTGGATGCCCCGCCCGATGGCCTCGCAGTGATCGAAGACTAGCTAACCTGCTTCGAATCGATGCTCTTTTCGGGCATTAAGGCCGAGAGCCGATCGATGGCAACGTCCCCAAGAGCTCAGGACCATCGGACATCTTTCGCACACCCTTTTCACCAAACCTAAACGGGTTCAAACCTAAACGTGTTTAAACAAATCTTTAGTGCCTAAAGAGGTTCAAAAACACATGAATACAGAGCCACTGACAACCTCCCCCATTCTGCTGCCCTTACCTTTGGAGGACCTGGGGCTTTCACATCTGCTCCCAACTCTATGGACATTGGGAAGGGGTGGACGAGGTGCAGTGTCTTGGGCACGCTTTTGGTTGCAGCGCAGGAGGTGGATTTGCGGGACCCTCACGGACAGGAGCTGCTCAAACCACTTTTTCCAATTTTGGATCGTATGTGGCTCATTCCATGCCACGTGCTTTGGTAAAGTTTAATGCAATTTATGTGGTCAAGTCGGAAAGGATCCTATCGAGTTTGCTCTCTTATTCAATCGGCTTTGTTTTCGAACAGCTTTGTGCAGAACATGGAACTGAGTGAGATGCCTCCAACACAGAAACAGGTCTCGAAGTCCGTGGCCTTTTGTGGCGAGGATCTGACGGCGTGCATTCCACATCCTGGCAGAGATCGACGGCACGTGTGTAGGATCTGAAACCTGAATTTTCCTCTTGGGGAAGAAGTCAATGCACAGGTTACGAATGGCTGTTTCCATCAATCGTGCATTCGCCTGAATGTCATGATCAGGATGAGTGCAATGATGTTGGATGCAAACACGAACACGGGCCTCAAACCGTTGCCAATGGGATGTGTTATCTAGGCGAGCCTGACGAAGGGCAAATCGATCAATATAATTAGGAGGAAAAACTGGCTTCCGAGGAGCATACCATTTTGGGATCACAACAAACAGAGGGTGATGTCGCGGTCCAAGATGTCCAAAATTCCTTTCAAAAACACGATCAATGGTGGGTTGCATGCGTCTATATTGAACCTGATGTTGGCAGACGAACACAAAATCAATTCGGGATCTGTGAGTGCCATGTTCAAATGTAGGAACATATCTGTCTTTGCAATGCAGTGCAATCCAGTCCTGTGCACGAATGAGCTGCAAGAGCACTTCTCGATCAGTGGTGTGGGATCCAGTTGGAGCCCGTTCATCATGCCAATATGAGGCCGATCAAGAGGAAGAGTCGTATTGAAGTCTCCCATCAAAACCAACGCCCGTTTGGCCAGAAGTGGAGCAGCACCCTTCTGAACATTCCAGGAATGCTGATACAAAGCAATGTAGTCATATGTACGATCCAGAAAAAGGCGAAGTTATACCAACCTACCCTCAACATGAATGGCATAAGCAATCTAATCTTGCTGAGCCAGGGAGCGGCGGATGAGGATCAGGATGGATGCTTGTTTTGCAGCCGAGTGGAGGCAATGCCAGTCTGGAGTCGTCCAGGAGGCATTTATATTCCAACCCGTTTCCTGAACTACCAGTATGTCCACTGGTTGAGTGATACTCCAATGAAAGAATTCCTCGTGAAGCAGGTTTTTCGATGCGTTCCAAATCATACACCTGATTCCAGGGAAGGTGGTCGGTGGCTTCAATTGCTTCTGAACCTGAGAAGCTGCAACACGAAAGCCAGCGCTTCCCTTTTTCGACAACTGCACGCCGAAGCAATCAAATCAGCTCGCGCAGCCGCTTGCGGCCGCGTGTCAAATCTGCTTCATGTCTTGTTCTGCCCACACATAGGTAACCATGCAAAAGCAAAAAATGCACTCTTGCATCACCACCCGCTCCAAAATCACTAAAACATCACCTCCAAGAGTTTACGCATACCTTTCTCGGGCCACCCCCCCGACCCCCGACCGACTTCACACATAGATAATTCCCATCCACATTCAGATGAAGCAAAAGCCAAACAATGCACCAAAATTCGAGGTGGCCTGGGACCAGAGGCTCGCTGCCCGAAACTGTATGTTCAGGCCACCTCAGAAATGAAGATATGCGAAGCAAGGGTCCTGAGGTGTCTCTGTGACAAGGCTTTTGTTAAAACAGACAATTTTTCAAGCTAAATTCAAGGTGGCCTGAGACCAGGGTTTGCTGCCCTAAAACACTCTGTTCAGGCCACCTTGAAAACGAAGGTCTGCGAAGCGAGAGCAGAGGATGCACATTGTGGGTTCATATAGGGAGCCAGGCCATTTTCAGAATCTTCTGGATTTGAGCTGCTCGAGTTCCTATTGAAGAGTATAGTTGGCGAGTGCGTCACCACCCGCTCCAAAAGCATCAAAACATCACCCCCCAGAGTTTACGTATATCTTTCTCGAGCCACACATGCACAGCAAACCACAGCTTTGAAGTCTCATTCGTGCTTTGAACTTGTATGTGTGTGTAAGAGGTATAGCAACATAGCATTTATACGGACCCAGGGTAGCTACAATTCTGTTCCCAGGTATCGCGCGCATGAGGCTTCAAAGCTGTGGATTGCTGTGCGTGTGTAGAGGTTATCGAGCGGTTGACGGAAAGGGAACTTGAAGTACTATACCTGGTAGCTGCACTATAGCTACCCTGGGTCTCTATACCTGGCAAGGTGCCAACTACACCTTTGCATTCAGATGCAAATGATGCAAATTGCATTTCTTGCATCACCACCCCTCAAAAATCACCTCCAACACAACCTCAAAAAACCTTCCCTCGACGCACCCTCCTCCCCCAGCATGTGCCGAGTTTACGTGTACCTTTTGCGGGCCAACCCCCCCAGACCCCCTAACTACTCACTTCGTTCGCCAAACACAACTCCGCTGGCGCCTTCTACGAAGGCTGGCTTTCGTAACAAGGCACCTCTGTCTGGCCTCCTTGAAGCGATACGGAACATCAGCAGCAAACAGGAAGCCCTTCCTATACTCAGTAAATCTATGTTGTAATGCTCTGTAGCATGCACGCTTGAAGGATCTCTTGTCTTTATCTGTATTATGCGCGGCCGAGCGGTCACAAGGCCGGAGCCTCTTAGAGCCCATACCTCGTGAGGCTTCGTGGAGAAAGGTCTGGTACCTAAATAAACATCTCCACTTTCGTCTTGGAGCGAGGTCTCCAAGACAACCCTCGCGCCAACCATGGATCCTAGATAAAATGGTAATGTGTTGGCATCCATAGTTCCTGGATTTGGGACCAAGATGCTTAACCTCTGTGCTAAAAGGATTCCAAAGAGCAACCAAGAAAATATGCCCATCGGTCAGCAGAAAAAAGAGAAGATTCAACAATCGATAGCCAAAACAAAAAGCATAGCGTAAGAATCTAAAGAGGAAATGGCTACCATAACTTAAGGCTAAGACAATTCAAAATCTATAAATAAAAAGAATATTTCTAACGAAATCGTATTATTTTACAATACATATAAATAATAAATATAACTATATATATATATATTTATATTTATCATTTAAATTCAATAATATACAAAACATTTAATTTTATAACAACATATTCAAAATAACTTTAATATATAAATATTAGTTAAATTTACACAAAAAACTTAATATTTTCAACAAAAAAATCCATTATAATCAAATCCAAGATTCGAAATATATCAAACATTACATATTTCCATTCCATAATTCAAAAATCATTTTCTAACAAATAACTAAATATATAAAAATAAATATTTAGTTCTACTCCAGGTCCAATTATATTTCAATTTTATGCGCTACATTATTAGACATCAATGCAAACATATAAAATATCATACTTGAAATGATGACCCAAATGGAAAAAGTAATTTTGTTAAACATTTACGTTTAAAAGGCGCCAACCAAATTTTTGATAGACCTCACTATCTCCTTTGAAAGCACAGCTTCGAAGCAAGCAGGCCCTAAGCGAAACCCTAAATGCACAGCTTCGAAGCAAGCAGGCCCCAAGCGAAACCCTAAATGCTTCAGCAATATTCAACACCTCGCAGAGATTGACCAAATGGCACAATGACATGTGCTATCAGTGGAAGGGCAGCGTCACGCGAACATAACCTTGCCCTCAGACCCCCACAGCCAAAGGAAAACCCAAGGCAAAGCCAGTGAACGATCAATGAAACAATATTTGCACATAACTTGTCAGAATCCTATTAATATGCATGAAAGCAATTAAACAGGACCTTATCTTATATTTTCCTCTTGGGCTTGCCGAATGTAGTCTTGGCAGTCTGATAATTCAACACTGTTTGATTCTGCCTGGTTGATGTCTGGTTGCCATTTAAGAAAAGTCATGTTCAACAATCAGAATGGAACACCCCCACTCGTCAGTTTCTCTGAAACAAGGCGCCAAACAAGATCTGATCAGGTCCAAGTCAAAGGTGAGCTCGCGCACTCGATTGAATTTCGACACAAGTCCTCAGCTTCGAAACACGGCAGTCCTTTTTAGAACGATACATGTCTGCTCTCCTTTCGAGAAGAGAAGTGTACTGAAATGTCTCTAGGAATCTTAAAGGAGTCCATCCCTCGTCGTCTGCTTGGGATCGCAGAAAGTTGTCCTTTGGATAATTCACATCCTCAGTCCCAAGCAGCAATGCATCATGGCTTCATGAGTCTGCGCAGCTAAACAATGCAAGTGGCTCCGAAGTAGAACTCAAACTGGCCTCGAACAAAACATTTGAATCAAGTCATTTCCTTCTTCAGTGAAGCACGCTCTTTTTGTTGTCAAATCTGAGAGTAGGGCGTCGAATCGCACATCGCAATTGTTCAGCCTGATCATTTTAACATATTTTAGGAGCGATCGGACGCTACTAGGGGCTCCTTGCCTTACTACTAGGAGCAAGGATGCTACTAGTCTTTCTTGGAAATGCGAAAGAATGCGCCCGTCGATGCCTTCAGCTTGTTGGGAAAGTTGGTCCTACGATGGGCGCTATATCGTCTTCGATTGGCTCTATGCCAAGCTGTGTACTGCATGTCCTTGATGGCAAAGCTGCAGGTGTAGGGACTGTTTCCTAAATACAACTTATGATGATGGGCGGAAGGAATGCTGGTTGCACTTCACTTTACTGGGACAATAATTTCCACTGTCTTCGGCTTTGGATCTTCAACTCCGACTTTGGCAAGATAAAGGTCATGCAAGGCATTCACGGCAGTTGTGAACACATCCTCTCCGCTTTGCAAAGTTACCTTGCAAAGCGAATGAGATAAGTCGGGTGAATGCAAGAAACCAAGAAACCACCACGCCTGCGAAAGGCCAGCTGCTATACCAGCACCGATACACACAGCAACCTTGCTTCAACATGCCTCTTTGACATGCCTTGTGGGGTTTCCATGTGTGAACGCCCCTCCTAAAAATGAAGTCTATGAAGTGAGTCCAACAACCGAATGAGTGTGTACAAGGTGCACAATGTGTACGCAACAGAGCGCCTTTGGATCTGTCAAGTTCTCTCCATCTTGCAAGCGATACCGAATCACCTCCAATTGAACATGGTTTGCAACATTCAAAACTATCTTTCTTTATGCACTGCTGGCGTCTGCTTCACTGTCCAGCCTCTCCTGGCAAAGGTGCTCTGGCCATTTGCCTGGGTGCGCAAGGCTGCGCAAGGCTGCAACCGGTTGACCGAAGCCAGACTCCAACCAGCCTCCATTGCTCTGCATCAAACGTCCCTGTGGCCTGTGCAAAGTTTGCTTTTTTTCGTTTGATGCATCAACCGGTCATCGATACATCTGGTCGCTCTACATCTCTGCCTCTGGAAGGTCAGCACTTGCTTGGCTTTTTGTCAGCTTTCTTTCAGGGTCTTCCAATGCCTTGCAATTCAATTCGCAAAGCTTTCAGGCGCCAAAACTTGAACTTCAGAACCAGGCTGGGATATGCTCTACTGGATGATCTTGTGGCAAAGCTTTCTGCTTGGATGGCCTGGAGTGCAACTTCCAACACAGCTGGTCAGGAGATTCGTAGACAGCTGACGGCCTTCGCTGCGCAGGTCTGACCCAAATGAGATCGCCATCCCGAAGCACATCCTCGTGAAACAAACGGTGCTCGATCACTTTGTGGCTTCAAAACAGCATACCATTGTGCCACTAAGAAGTGCAACAGGCTTTGAGTGATCACAACTTGCCTCTAATCGCTGGGCAGGCAAAAGTCCAAAGCCTCTGCGGATTCAACATCAAATTCTCAGCCTCTTGAGGGTGAAGACCCTGCCTTGTACAGAAATCGCAAGTGGTTTCAATGGCAGTTGAAAGTAACCTCATGGACTCACCCTACACTCATCACTTTGGACTCTGACGTGCCACGCAACGGTAAATGTAGTGCATCAGATCGGAAACAAAGCTGAGACCTGCCAGGGGTTTTCTTTGGGATGCATGTCCGTTTCCTCTCTTTCGGTCTAAAGACGCACCTGCTGGAACTGCCAAGACCACCTTCCTGGTGGAAGCGTTGTGCGCTGTGAAACGCGCAGTGTTTTGTGAGCAAAGCCTGCATAAGATACCGTCATCACACTCTGCCGCCAGTTGCAAGCGCAAGCGCAGCAGGCTCCTCTTTCAAGATCAACGAACCTTCAGACCAAGTTCAAACGCAAACAGCGCATCATCCCGTCCTCCTCTCAGTTGTGGGGCAAATGGACAGCTCCATGGGAATTCGTGAACGAATCCGTCAGCTCTCCATGCTTGCGCCAACAAGTCTTTTTGGCTTTCAGTAGGTGTGAAGGTGTGAGTGAGATGCAAAAAATGTTGAGCAAACAACTCTTGGGCACATGTCACAGGAACCCCTCTCCAAGCAAACTTGGCAAAATATTGAATTGAGACATTATTACATGAACGTAGCAACTGCTACACATTTGAAGCCTGCTCCGGCATCTGCTTCGTGTTTCAGTGAGCATAAGGTGGACGATTTTGGAGGAACGCTGGGATTACTGTTAACAAGGAAATTCATGAAACATGTTAAGATGTCCAAATCATTAAGGTTCGATCGACGTCTTGCAAGCCCGGAATCAAATCGAAATCTCGCAGCATATTGGTACATCAAATCATGCAGTTTGAAGGAGGTGGTTTGGCCGCTCCAAGATCTCCGAATCTTCTCTTCACTTCAATCGAAATTTTTGGGGCAACCCAGACTGGAAGCGAGACAATTCGATGAAAATAGATGGGAAACAGTCTCAGTTGCTCTGATTGCACTTCTGCAATGGCAAACGCTATCCACACAAGAGTAGAGTCTATGATCTTTCATTAAAAGAATCCCGGCAAGAGTCCCCCAACTGTGTTAAGTAGAAGTGCATGTGAGCACGCGTGTGAAAAGTTCACAGATTGCTGCCTGCCATGAAGCCTGCACTGTCGGGTGTACATTGTGCCGTGCTTGTCACAAATCACAAAGTGCAGTGCGTGCCACAAAATCTGTACTTGGAGGCCTACACCAACACGGCAGAAGTGCTTCCAAAGGCAAGATCGATATGCCAGCTTTTCGCGATACATCCCCAAATTCTGAAAACTAACAGGTCCAAAGTTCACGATTCACCATGCCTGTCACCAAAATTTGCACATCGATGTAAAGCAGCCTCGAGCCCCTGCGCCTACCACGAGTCGACTTGAGACCACCAAAGCATGAGCGCTCCCTTGCGCGCACCATGTCCACAAATGAAACCAGAATCCTCAAAGAAGAACTTCCCGGGGTACTGTGGGATTTCGACCCCTTCCCACAGTCCAGCTGCGTTGGGCTGTCCATATAGGGCCCTAACTAGAAGAACTGCTGGTCTGACAAACTTGAGGATTGCTTGGACATAAAAATGCTTTAACTGCGTTTGGTGCGGTGCGCATATGAGCTGAGAACGAGCTGTATGCTAAGGAGGTGTCGGGCCCCTACCAAGATGTTCCTCATACACGGCGGCGGCTTCTGCGCAGTCCCCCCGTGGCCGATCCTCCCCTTCTTCTTCTGCAAATGCTTTGCTCATTCCCTAGCGATACCGTTTGCTCCTAGTAGCTTCTTGTTCCTAGTAGCAAGGCCCGGAGCCCCCAGTAGCGATGCCCTTTGCTGCTAGTAAACTTTCAGAAAGGCGACCCTCAGATTTCCAAGTTCGTGGACTGATGGCACCACAGCGTGCAGTCGAGAAAGCCCCCTCCCGCCCAGAAGTTTGTGCGAGCGTGCGCAGTCGAAATGCACCTCGAAGATCTCGAGAGGCAATGTGCCGTAAATAGTAACAAGGTTCGCTACTAGTAACAAGTGCCTTACTAGTAGTAACAAGAAGCTACTAGTAACAAGTGCCTTACTACTAGTAACAAGGTTCGCTACTAGTAACAAGTGCCTTACT